CATGAAATTATAATCCATTTATCAATATGATCCGATCTACTACGAGATATGGAAGTGTGTCAATCTCGATTATCGATCATATCTTTCATTCTTCTATTAAGTCAATATGAGTCGAAAACTCCTTTTCGACTTATATGCACACCTTGACCAAGGATTTCGTTATTGACTTAATTGAATCAAATGCACGTCACAATCTCTTACTATCTAAGAGTGACGAATTCTCTATTGATCATTTACAACCTTCATATGGTTCTTGACATACCCGAACGATGTCGTATTAGCGGCCCTTGGCAGAGCAACATCCAACACTATCAAAATATGATTGTCCTCATATAAGGTACTATGATGACCTCAAGTTGTAGGACCAATTTCATTACCGAACGTTAGAGATTAACCACTGACACTCAGATAGTTATCCATGTGGAATCTCTTAGCGGGTCTCCAATGTTTTGTTCTATAACAAAATATCCACGTGTTCATTTAAGTGTCACCACACCTTAACTCGTGAGATCAGTTACTTACTTCACAAGTAAGAAATGTCACACGTGATGGTCTAACTGTATTAACGATATCCGTATCTCGTTATTATTTACGATCACGGTTTATTCAAGATCCAATTATATGTAATTTGTATCTAACAATCACAACTCTTTGTGATTAACAGATCACTTAAAATTGGATCTTTGGATTCTATTATTTAATATTATTTCTCATAAAATTAATTTAAATAAATAATAGATCTCGCCAAAATCAAATGCATTAAACATATTAAAAGCGTTTACAACCTAAATCGATTGGATCTAGGGCATAACACTTGCACTAGATCCAATCACTCACGTATCTAATACCATAAGCATCCACATGACGATCATGTTTCTGTTATGACAACGGCTTTGTCAGTGGATCTGCAATATCGTCATCTGTGGGAACTCGCTCTATCGTTACGTCATTTCTTTGTATAATCTCCCTGATGAGATGATATCGCCTTAGCACATGTTTGGATCGTTGATGAGATCTCGGTTCCTTCGCTTGCGCGATGGCTCCATTGTTATCACAATACAAAGGTATGGGATCAACAATGCTAGAAACGACTTCAAGTTCATTAATGAACTTCTTGATCAACACAGCTTCCTTTGCTGCTTCAGAAGCAGCTATGTACTCGGCTTCCGTTGTTGAATCAGTGGTTGTCTCCTGTTTGGAACTTTTCCAACTAACCGCTCCATTGTTGAGAGTAAACATATATCCTGACTGAGACTTGCTATCATCTTTGTAAGTTTGAAAACTAGCATCAGTATACCCATGAATTTTCAGTTCATTTCCTCCATAGATCAAGAACACATCTTTAGTCCTTCTCAAGTACTTAAGAATGTTCTTAACCGCTATCTAGTGTTTCTCACTAGGGTTTGCTTGAAACCTGCTCGTAACACTTAGAGCACATGAAACATCTGATCTTGTACATAGCATCGCATACATGATAGATCCTATTGCCGAAGCATAAGGAATCTTATCCATGCGACTTCTTTCATCATGTGTTTTAGGACGCATATCTTTTGAGAGGTAAATCCCATGCGACATGGGACATAATTCTCTTTTAGACTCTTCCATATTAAATCTTCTCAAGATTTTATCTATGTACGAAGATTGGGATAAGCCTAGTAATCTTTTAGATCTATCTCTATAGATCTTGATTCCCAAGATATACGCTGCTTCTCCCATATCTTTCATAAAGAAATTCTTTGACAACCATAATTTTATCGATTGAAGTATTGGGATGTCGTTTCCCATTAATAATATGTCATCGACATATAATATCAGGAATACGACCGCGCTCCCACTTGTTTTCTTATAAACACACGGTTCATCTTCATTTTTGATAAAATCAAACATTTTGATTGTTTCATCAAAACGAAGATTCCAGCTCCTAGAGGCTTGCTTTAATCCGTAAATGGATCGATTTAGCTTACATACTTTGTTAGCTCCCTTGGATTCAAAACCTTCAGGCTGTGTCATGTACACCTCCTCTTGTAAGTTTCCATTAAGGAAAGCAGTTTTGACATCCATTTGCCATATCTCATAATCATGGTATGCAGCTATTGCAAGCAAAATCCGAATGGACTTTAGCATGGCTACAGGTGAAAACGTTTCATCAAAGTCAACACCTTGTCTTTGTGTGTAACCATTCGCCACTAGCCTTGCTTTGTGTCCGTTTCCATCCACATCGACCTTTTTCTTGTAAACCCATTTACAACCTATCGGTTTTATCCCACCTGGAAGGTCGACCAAAGTCCAAACTTTGTTCTCATACATTGAGTCCATTTCGAATTCCATGGCATCTTGCCATCTCTTCGAATCAACACTTAACTTTGTTTCTGCGTAATTTGTGGGTTAATCATCCTCGACTAATAATACTTGATTAGTAATCGTGAATTCATATCTTTTGGGAGGTCAAATGATCCTACTTGATTTACGCTTAGCTGGAGTGTCCTCAAGGTTCTCTATATCCTGATCAAGAGTCTGTCCATCAATAGGTGTAGGATCAGACTCAGGTTCATCTAATTGGTCAACAGTATCTGTGGATTCTTGAACTTCTTCAAGTTCTAGTTTGCTTCCACTACCCTCTCCTAGAATAAACTCTTTCTCTAGGAATATGGCATGCCTT